GATTTTATATCCTGCTACCTTGGTATAGCTATTGATGGTGTCTAGGAGCTTTTGAGTAGAGTTTTTTGGGTTTTAAGGTATAAGATCATGTCATCTGCAAATAGGGATATTTTGACAGTTTCTTTACCTGTTTGTATTCCTTTTATTCCTCCTTCTTGCCTAATTGCTCTGGCTAGGAATTCCAGTACTATGTTGAATAGGAGTGGAGATAGTGGGCATCCTTGTCTAGTTCCTGATTTTAGAGGGAATTGTTTCAGTTTTTCACCATTAAGTATAATGCTGGCTGTAGGTTTTTGGGGAGACTCTTGATTGCTGCTTCAATTTCATTTTGTGTTATAGATCTGTTCAGTTTATTAATATCCTATTGGTTCAGTTTTGGATGATCATATGCATCTAGAAATCTGTCCATTTCTTTAAAATTTTCAAATTTATTTGAATATAGGTTCTCAAAGTAGTCTCTGATGATTTCCTTTTGCTTTCCTTATTCTACTAGTTTGGGTTTTTTCTCTCCTCATTTTAGTCAGGTTTGCCAGGGGTCTGTTGATTTTGTTTATTTTTTCAAAGAACCAACTTTTTGTTTCATTAATTCTTTGTATGTTTTTTTTGGTTTCTATTTCATTGATTTCAGCTCTTGTTTTTATTATTTCTCTCCTTCTATTTGTTTTGGGATTTGCTTGTTCTTGTTTTTCTAGGAGTTTGAGATGTATCATTAGGTCATCGATTTGGGATCTTTCAGTCTTTGTAATATATGCACTCATGGCTATAAACTTTCCTCTCAGGACTGCCTTTGCTGTGTCCCATAGGTTCCGGTAGGTTGTGTGTTCATTTTTATTGACTTCCAGGAACTTTTTAATTTCCTCTTTTATTTCATCAATGACCCATTGTTCGTTAAGCAATGAGTTATTCAGTTTCCAGCTGTTTGCATGTTTTTTCTCTTTACTTTTGTTGCTGAGTTCTACTTTTATTGCATTGTGATGAGATAGAATGCATGGTATAATTTCCATTTTCTTATATTTGCTGAGGCTTGCTTTGTGCCCTAGGATATGATCTATTTTGGAGAAGGTTCCATGGGCTGCTGAGAAGAATGTATATTGTGTAGAAGTTGGATGAAATGTTCTGTAGACATCAAGTAGGTCCATTTGATCTAAGGTATATTTTAGATCTAGGATTTCTTCATTGATTTTTTGTTTGGATGACCTATGTATTGATGATAATGGGGGTTAAAGTCTTCCACAACTACTGTTTTGGAGATAATACATGCTTTTAGGTCCTTCAGGGTATGTTTGATGAAATTGAGTGCATATAGGTTGATAATTGTGATTTCCTTTTGGTCTATTGTCCCTTTTATTTGTATGGAATGTCCTTCTTTATCTTGTTTGATCAATGTAGGTTTGAAGTCTACTTTGTCAGAGATAAGTATTGCTACTCCTGCCTGTTTTGGGGGGCCATTGGCTTGGTAAATCTTCTTCCAGCCTTTCATCCTAAGCCTATGCTTATTTCTGTCGGTGAGATGGGTCTCCTGTAAGCAACAAATTGTTGGATCTTCCTTTTTAATCCCTTTCATCAAACGGTGCCTTTTGATGGGGGAATTAAGTCCGTTAATGTTAAGCGTTAGTACTGATAGGTCTGTGGTGATTCCTGTGATTTATATGTCTTAGTTGTTTGAAGGTTTGATTGTGTGTACCTAAGTTGAGGTTACTCTCTACTTTCTTGCTTTTTCTTTTCCTGTAGTTTGGTGCTGCCTGCCCTTTCATGGTTATGTTGGGTTTCACTTTCTGTGTGCAGAATCCCTTGCAGAATCTTTTGTAGTGGTGGCTTTGTGGTCACATATTGTTTTAGTTTCTGCTTATCATGGAAGACTTTTATTGCTCCATTTATTTTGAATGATAGTTTTGCTGGGTAGAGTATCTTGGGGTTGAAATTATTTTCAATCAGTGCCCAGAAGATTTTACCCCAAGCTCTTCTTGCTTTTAATGTTTCTGTTGAGAAATCTGCTGTGATTTTGATGGGTTTACCTTTGTATGTTATTTGTTTTTCTCTCTTTCAGCCTTCAGTATTCTTTCTTGGCTGTCTGTATTTGTTGTTTTAATGATAATAAGCCGTGGGTATATCTAGTTTGGTCTGGTCTATTTGGTGTTCTGGAGGCCTCTTGCATCTGTATGGGAATAGATTTCTCTAGATTTGGGAAATTTTCCGTTATTATTTTGTTGAATATATTATGCATTCCCTTCGCTTGTACCTCTTCTCCTCCTTCAGTGCCCATGATTCTCAGGTTTGGTCTTTTGATGGAGTCAGTGAGTTCTTGCATTTTCTTTTCACAGGTCTTGAGTTGTTTAACTAATGGTTCTTTGGTTTTTCCTTTAATTACCATTTCATCTTCGAGTTCTGAGTTTCTGTCTTCTGTTTATTCTGTTCTGCTGGGTTGGCCTTCCATTTTGTTTTGCAATTGTGTTTCGTTCTTTTTTCTGAGGTTTTCCATATCCTGAGTCCTTTCCTCTTTAATGTTGTCTACTTTTGTCCTGAGTTCATTTATCTCTTTATTAATGTGTTCTGTGTTTCACTTTGGTGTTTATACAGTGCTTCTGTGGTTTCCTTTATTTCTTCTTGTGCTTTTTCAAATTCTCTATTTTTGTTGTCTTGGAATTTCTTGAGTGTCTCCTGTACATTTTGGTTGGCCATATCCAGTATCATCTCTATAAAATTGTCATTGATTACCTGTAGTATTTCTTCTTTTAGATTGTTCTTGTGGGCTTCAATGGGTTCTTTGGCATAGTTTATCTTAATTTTGTTGGAGTCTCGATCTGAGTATCTGTTTTCTTCATTTCCCTCTGGTTCCTGTACTAATTTTTTGCTGTGGGGAAACTGGTTTCCCTGTTTTTTCTGTCTTCCCATCATTGCCCTTGGTGTTGTTATTGTCCCTGTACTATGTGCAATTAAGTATTTTCTAGCTTGTAATAATAACAATGGTGATATTTAGAATGGAAGAGTGAGAGGAGACTGAAAGCAAAGAAGTTAAAGAAAAAGGGAGAAACAAATAAACAAGTAGAAAAAACAATGTTTCAAAGATATAAATGGGAGAGATAGTGCACTAATCAACAGTAAGCTGAACAGGCATTAGAGAGACAGAGAGAGGATTGAAAAATAAATAAATAAAAAATAAAAAATAGATAAATGAAAAAAGAAATCTCCAAGTTCAAATGCAATAAAGTTTCAGTTTTAATAATTTTAGTGTTATTCCCTCAGCCTCCAATCCTGGAGATGGTGTCTCAGAAGTAGTTTTGTTGTTGTCTCATCAAAGGGGAAAAATACCAAAAAGACCAAACCAAAACAAAAGAACACAAAACAAAAAAAACACCACAAAGTGTCCTAAGTTCAAATGCAATACAGTTTCAGTAAGTTTTTCAGCATGCAGGTGTAGTTTGGTTGTTGTCTCATCAAAGGAAGAAAGAAAAAAAAAAGAGTCTGGAGACAGTTCTGTGAATGTCTATCTGAGGCTGTGTTCACCTGCCTGCTGCTGTCAGCCTGCTGTTGCTGGAGGCTTTATTTATGCAGATCTCAGGAGTAAGCTTAACACTCACCTAGCCCCTCAGGCTTTGTTTACTTAGAGTTCTCCTGGGAGCTTTCCCCTTTTCAAGCACACTGGGGGAGGTGACACTGCACCAGCTTTCTCAGGCCTGCGTGTTTATTTGCAGTTCACATGGGAAGTGGGTCTTGCCCCCTCTCCTGTGGAGTTTTCCTCCCACCGGCACTTTTACAAGCTTTCCTGCTCCTGGTTGCTGGACATGTGCCGCTGCTCCTGCCTTCCCCAGCTGGCTTCTTGTGAGGGATTTCCCCTACCCCCCTCTTCGGTGCTCAGGGCGCCCCGCCCTCTTTGCTACGTGTCTTTTTTTGTTGTTATTGCCTATTATTCAGGTTTTTTTTCTTTTTTCCCTGGATGGGGGTCCATCTGTCCAGGGGGCTATGCTGATCTGGCCCAGGGTTGTCTGTGGGAGTACCGCATGCCGCTTAGCTCACCTTGTGGTCCGCGTCTTCCCAAGCTGTCTGGGTGCTGCAGTCTGGAGGTGGCGCGGGAGCCCTCCTGGTTTCTCTGTTTAACATGAAATGGAGATGCTATGTGCATGTTGGAGGTGTGGAGGAGTCAAAGTTTTGCCTCTTCTTGGTGGTTTTTCCTGTAAGGTGTATCTCCAGCATCTCTCCAAGATTTTACTTTAGGAGGCACGCTTTCTGCTTTCTCCCTCTAGCCACCATCTTGGAATCTCCTACCTTCTAAGTTAATTCTTCTCAAACTAACCTTTTCTCTAGTTCCTGGTCCCCTTCTCCTATTGGCCTCAGTTGCTTTAAATTATCTGCTTTAGTTTCTCTGCATTGAGGGCAACAAATGCTATCTAGTTTTTTGGGTGTTTTGCCTATCCTCATTCCTTCCTTGTGTGTTCTCACTTAATCATGTGATCAAAGTCCGATCCCCTTGTTGTGTTTGCCCTTGATCTAATGTCCACATATGAGGGAGAACATACGATTTTTAGTCTTTTGGGCCAGGCTAACCTCAGTCAAAATAATGTTCTCCAATTCCATCCATTTACCAGCGAATGATAACATTTCGTTCTTCTTCATGGCTGTATAAAATTCCATTGTGTATAAATACCACATTTTCTTGATCCATTCGTCAGTAGTGAGTCATCTTGGCTGTTTCCATAACTTGGCTATTGTGAATAGTGCCGCAATAAACATGGGTGTGCAGGTGCCTCTGGAGTAACCTGTGTCACAGTCTTTTGGGTATATCCCCAAGAGTGGTATTGCTGGATCATATGGTAGATCAATGTTTAGATTTTTAAGAAGCCTCCAAATCAAAATTTATTATTTAATATGGGCCCTGGAAGAACCCTAAGAGGAATGTAGAGATCCTATAGGGATGATATAGAATAAAAATTTAATATTTAGTTTGGGATTGCTTAAAATCTGTTTATTTATTGTATCCTAAAACTGTTCGTTGTTTTAAACAGTTTCACTCACTGGCTCCCATGTACTACCGAGGGTCTGCCGCGGCTGTAATAGTGTATGACATTACCAAACAGGTAAGGTGTCTCCCTTAGAATTTTGATGCCATTTATGGTGACTGTCTTAGAAAGACTAAAACAGGCTTATCACTGCTTGAGTCTCTCTTGTAGCCTGGAATAAGATTTCCCAATATGGTGGGAAAGGATAATGAGCATTGTATTGAGTACATTTCACCCACACATGACACAACATCTCAGATATATCTGCGCAGTTAAGAACACAGCAATGAGCACTCACTTTTGAAGTTGACTGTTTATAGGGGCAAGGTCACACCTGCTAGTGCTGTTCTTTAAAACATCAGCTTTTCATGAAAAAATTACTGTGAGTTCTGCATGTTTTTAATCATCATAAAGGTACTTATTTTCTGTTAATCGTTTAGTGGCACCACTTAGAAGGCCAAGGACAATACTTATGTGTCTAAAGGTAAAACTGTGTGTGTGTTGTCATCTCCTTTTTGTCTGTTTTCACTTTCTGTGGCCTTAGTTACTGAGGTCAACTGCCATTCAAAAATAATAAACCAGAAGTTCCAGCAATAAGCAAGTAATAATTTTAAGTAACTTTTATTACAATATGTTGTTATAATTAGTCAATTTTATTATTATTAATCTCTTAATTTATAAATTAAACCTTGTTATAGGTATGTATTCAGAGGAAAAAAACATAGTTTGTGTAGGGTTGTGTAATATCTGCAGTTTTGGGTCCCAGCAAGGACCGTGGAAAATATGCTGTGCAGATGGGACCAGTGAGTATGTAATTTAATGTATTTTCAGTTTTAATAGTGCGGTGGTTCAATGATATTTTCCCCATCTCTGCATATTGAATCGCTTACTTTTTCCCTGGAGCACTGACCCAGTGCCCAGTGTCCATGACCATTGGTGCAGTGACCCATTGTTGTTGCATTCTGTGAGTCATGACCACTTCTGTCCTGGAGGAGGCTAGGCCAAAATGAAATTAGGGCTCTAAAGGGCTGTATTCCCTTTCTGAAATAAGCACAAACATTCATGTAATCCCGCTATCCTTATTTATGTGGAGTCAAGGCTGTAGTTTTCAGTCAGTGTTACTTATAGGAAAAATTACTAATGCAGTTTTCTTACTAATCAAATTTTAATTTTTAGAAAGAAATTTTCATAGGCTAAATATAACTTAGCTAAGGTTAACTACATGTGTCTCCTAAAAATACTTTCTCCATTAAATTATATAGGGCTTGTATTTCTACTTGGTCTTTTCAATGTTCATCTTCACTTTCGGTTTAGGATTCATTTCATACCTTGAAGAAATGGGTTAAAGAACTGAAAGAGCATGGCCCGGAAAACATCGTAATGGCTATTGCTGGTAACAAATGTGACCTCTCGGATATTAGGTAAGATGCATGTAAAAATGGTTGTGTCTGACCTGTATCCTGAATGTCTGTGGGCTGAAAGGTGTTGTGCCTTGGGTGTTACTTGTGTGCTGGAAGTAGTAAATTTAATTGACGGCCGTCACCTGTGTAGTCAGTGTGTCGTTATTCACTGATAGTGGATAATTGGCAGGCAGGCCAGTCAATGATGGATATTGAAATCACTTTCATACATAGTACATCATGTCCCCAACTTTAGATATCTTTGGGCCAGGTTGTTTTGTTATTTTTATTGTTACTACTTTTTCCATTATTATTAGTAGCATTGTTACTACTTACACAATTTTAGTAACAGTATCATATGGCAAATGACCATTAGAATTCTTGATATTTTCCATAGCATCCCTGTTTGTTTTAGAACTAGATTTTAATATAAGGACATAGGCTAGTCTGCATAATGTTACTATTTTGTTCTAAGATCTGAATATGATTCGTTTTATAGGAATACTTTTACGCGACCACACTTCTATTGAGAGTGGGTCATGGAACTTCTTTTACCTGATACCTTAGTCCATTTTCTATTGTTATATCAGAATGCCTAAGGCTAGGTATTATATAAAGAAAAGAGGTTTATTTAGTTTTGCCTGGAAGTTTAAGAACATAACACTGATGTCCTGGCAAGGGTCCTTTGGGAGTGAGCTGTGTGCAAGAGAGATCACTTGGCAAGACAGGAAGCCAAAGAGATTCGGGGCCAGGTTTCTCTCTCTTTTTTGTTTAACAACTCATTTCTTGCAGGAACTAACTATAGTCTCATAAGAACTACATTAGTCCCTTCCAAAGGTGGTACCCTTCATAACCTAATCACCATCCACTAGGCCTCACTTCTTAGAGGGTCCACCGCCTAGCACTACCACACTGAGGACCAGGCTTCCAGCACATGGACGATGGGGACAAACTCAAACCTTATCTAAATCACAGCACCTGAGAGTGGATTAGAGAGTTGATGACAACTTCATCCAGCCTGTTGAGCTGGCTGTTTTATGAAAAAAATCTTACATTAGAAGGGAAGATAGTAGTCCTCCCTGACCCATGGCAAATAAGTTTCAAGATCCCAGTGGTGCCTGAAAGTGCAGATAGTTCTGAACGCCATTTATACTATGTTTTTGTCTATATGTACAATACTATGATGAAGTTTAATTGATACATTAGGCACAGTAAAAGATTAATAAGAGCAACTAATATTAAAATAGAACACTTATCACAATATACTCTAATAAAAGGTATTTTAAACTCCCAAATTGTTTTATTTCTGGAATTTTTATTTGGTATTTTTGGACTCAATTGACTGTCAGCGACTGAAGCTGTGGAAAGTGAAACCACTGCTAAGTGGTCTACTGTAGCAGATTTGTGTTGTCTCTGTTCTGCTGGCTAATTTAGTTCTCAGGAATTCCAGCAGTTGATTTTCATGAAGACAACTGTACCATGCTCTGATTCTGCTAATCTAAATATGATTAAACCAAAGATAAATAAGCAATGAAAATGGATCTTGCAAAAGTATTTAACATGGCATTTGACAAACTGCTCTGTTTCTTTGGGATTACAAAAGGTTTATATAGCATTGCATCATGTTGGTTTATAATAACAGCCATAAACACCACTTAATCACTTGTTTTTCCTAGGGTTGGACAAACCTTTCAACTCCCCAGACTTAGTTCGGATATCTACCTTCTTTAATCTTAAAGCACTTGCTCTGTTAATCTTTCCTGCATTTGGGGCAGTGGTGAGGAGAGTGAGCCTTTGCTGAGTGAGGCAGTATCATCTGACACCATCACATGTGGGAAAAGAAGACTTTGGGTAGAAACAAAGCTCATGTGTGGGAATGCTGATGGGCTAGAATTTAAGAAGAAAATACTTTCAAACTGAATGGTGTATTAATTAGCACTCTTGGTTACATGTAACTGAGCTCCAACTGACATTAATTTTATGAAAAAGGAGGTTTTATTAAAAGGTACTGATATCCACATGGTAAAAAACAAAAAACAGGGCTGCCCTTAGTTGTGGTATGTGATATAGTCCAGCATTTACCTTTGAATATTTATTGACCTGGCATTCAGTGTTTCAAATCTAAAATGCCATGGATGGGTTTCCCCACATCGTGTGTTTAGCAGAGGAGATTTGGCTAGTAGAAGATGAAATTTCTTATTGTCACCATGGGAACAGGCGAGTAGGGGTCCTGAACAGGGGCATCCCTTAGATAAATGTGGCCTCCACACAGAACATGCCTGAACCATGCTGCTTTGCTACCAGTACCTAACACACACCATTCCCAGGGTAGAAGTCGCCTTTTATGCACTGGCTCCACATTCTCCTCTATGTATGTATCTTTAAGATGCCCTAGCAAACACAATCCGTTCACCTCACGTCCAGCTTCAAATTCACCCAGAACTCCCCCATCCTCAGTGGGTGATAATCTAAGGCCATCCACCCACTGCTTCCAGTGGTGATATCAGGGCCCAGGGTCTTAGGAGTCCAGGCCGTCTGGTCATTTTCCTTTTTTCCCCATAAGTTTGGCCTCAGCAAGGTCCGAATGTGGCTCTTCAACATCCCATAGTTGTAGTTTCAAGTGCAAAATATGTACCTTTCATTATACACAAAAGTAGTCTAGATGGGACTTACTTTTTAATTATGGTACAAGAAGATGACTCTGCAATTCTTTAAACCTCTGAACAGGTCAGTGAAAAAAAAGTAGTTTGATGCTACTGAGTTTTTTTAAAATTTTAAACGTGATACATTTTATTGAGATCTCAGAATGAGATCCTCCTGTCTGTGCCTCCCATGTAGCTGGGATCACAGGTGTATACTGCCACATCCAGTCCCTGTCTTTTGAAAACATTGTATCTATCCTAATGGATGTGAAGTTGCATCTTTGTATTTTTGTTTGCATTTTCCTAATGACTAATGATGTTATGTATCTTTGCATATGTTTATTGGCCATTTCTTTGGAGAAATGAGTTCAAATACTTTGCCCAACTTTAATTAGATAATGTGTGCAACTTACCATTTTCCCTTTTGTTTCTTGCGCCCAAGTGACTGGCTAATTAAACATCATGGAGATTTACACTTACATTTTCTTCTGAGAATTTTACGGGTTTAGTGCTTACATGAAGGTCTGCCATCCATTTTGTTAACTTTTGTGTTTGATGTGAGATAGGGGTCCAAGTTCAGCTTTTCCATGTGGATATATAATTTTCCCAGCATCATTTGTTGAAAAGACTGCTCGTTTCCCATTGTATTTTGGGCTCTTTTGTCAAAACTTCGTGTATTTTAACTGTTGACTTATTTTTGTGCTCTTCATTTCATTCAGTTGATCTGTCTGTCTTTATGCCAGTGCCACACTGTTTTAATTGCTGTAGGTCTGAAATCAGTTTGAAATTAGAAATTATTACTCCTTCAACCTCATTCTTTCTTTTCAAGATTGTTTGGCTATTCTGGGTCATTTATATTTCCTTATGAATTTTGGAATCCACTTATAATTTCTGCAAAAAAAAAAGCTGTATTTTAATAGGGAGTATGTTGACTCTTTAGACTAATTTGGGTATTATTGCCTTCTTAATAGTATTAAGTTTTTCAATCCATGAACATGAAATGTCTTTCCATTTTATTTAGCTTTTTAATCTCTTTTAGCATTGTTTTACATTTTTAATGCATAGGTTGAAGTTTTTGTGTGTTTTGGAGGTGCTAAGGCCAGGGCTTTACTTGTGCTAGGCAAGCACTTTAGCACTGAGCTATAGCCTCAGTGCCTCAGAAGTACAAGTGTTGTACTTTTTTTTGTTATATTTATTCCTAAGTATTTGATTTTGCTTGGTGATATCGTCAATGGAATTGTCCATTAGTTTTGGTATATTCTGTTTTTAATCATTTCAAAGTATTTTCTGACTCATTGTTTATTTAGTAGTGTGTTGTTGAGTTTCCACAGATTTGTGAATTTCCCAGATTTCTGACTGTCAAGATTTCTAATTTAATACAACTGTAATCTGAAACATAATTTGTATTATTTTGATTATTTGAATTTTTGAGGTTTGTTTTATGGCTTAGCACATGTTCTATCTTTGGGAATGTTACATGTGAGCCTGAGACCAGTAAGAGATTTTTTGTTTTGTCTGTCTTGGTTGCTGGGAGCCGATAAATTTTAACACCTATTTTTATACTTACCATTCTCTCTTTGGGAGGAAGATGGGGAGAAGACACTAACTAGAATTTAGTTTTGTTCTTACTTTTTAGGACTATATTCTTTTTATGACAATTAATACCTGTGCTTCATTTATGACAGTGATATAAAATTTCATTTAAAATGTTTTTAAAAGATTGATTTATGTTCATGATATTATTGTCTGCATAGAAAATTTCAAGGAATATATCAAAATCCTAAATCTACTAAGTGGATTCAGCAAAGTTGTGGTATACAAGGTCAATCCAGGGAAATCAATGACATTTCTATATACTGAGTTTGCAAAAGCTAAAACTAAAAATACAGAACTCTTGGACTAGGAAAGTGGCTTAAGTGGTAGAGTCCTCGCCTAACAATTGCAAGATCCTGAACTCAAATTCCAGTACTGCCAAAAGAAGGAAAAGGAGAATAAAAAGAGAAAACAAAAAGCAGTATTCTTTACAACTGTTTCAAAGAAATGAAATACTTAGATAGATATGTATTTACCAAAACATGTATAGGATCTGTGACTGAAAAATACCACTACATATGGAAGAAATCAAAGAAGATGTGAATAACTGAAGAGACATGTGTGTTGCATAGATTGATAGTCTTGGCATAGTAAAGATGTCTGTTCTCTTCAAATTAATCTATCGGCTTACACACAATTCCTTCAAGCTCTTAGCAAAGCTTTTTGTAAACATAAGCCAATTCTGTAATTTATATGGACAGTCATGGGTGCTAGAATAGTAAAATGATGATATTGGCAAAGAAGCATATAATGGAAGGAGTAGCTCTGTCGAATGTTAAGGCTTAC